TCTCTCTCTCTCTCTCAAAAATAAACATTAAAAAAAACAAAAAGAATTCCCTTCATGACCAAATTACGTGCTGTCTTCAGATTTGGGAAGACACAATCTGGTGCCTAGAATAGCTCCTATATTGTCCCATCCCTGCCCCTTTCTGTCCACCATCCCCGTGGTTCTATAGGTACAGGATGGACCCCCAAACTCCAAGTAAGCACTGCCCAGGATGGGTAGAGGACAGTTGAGTTCAGGAAAGGTGGGAAAGCTCCTGAATAGCCACTGGGGCTCGTGGTGACAAGCTGTGCAGCACAGCGGGAGGGCTGACCACAGAACTTACTAACTCCCAGCACAAGAAACAGATACGTGACCTTGAACAACATGGGTTTGAACTGCACAGGTCCACTTACGCGTGAGTTTTTTATAGCACTCTAAATGCACTCTCTTTGTTAGGACTTTCTTAATTATGTTTTTTCCCTTCTAGCTTTTTTTTTTTTTTTTTTTTTTTTTTTTTTTTTTTTTTTTTTTTTTGAGAGTGAGTGAACAGGAGTAGGACAGAGAGAGGGAGACCAAGAATCCTAAGCAGGCTCCATACTGCCAACGCAGGGCCCAGTGCAGGGCTCAAACTCACAAACCATGAGACCGTGACCTGAGCTGAAATCAAGAGTCAGACGCTTAACTGACTGAGCCACCAGGCACCCCTCTCTAGCTTTACTGTAAGAATACAATATATAATACATATAACAGAAACTATGTGTTAACCAACTGTTTATGTTATTAGTGAGGCTTCCATCAAGGGCAGGCTATTAGCGGTTAAGTGTGAGGGGCAGTCAAAATTTATAGGCAGATTTTCCACAGTGTGGGGGTGGGTGCCCCAAACCCCATGTTGTTCAAGGATCAACTGTACTTTTTTCTGTTTCTTTTCACTAGAATAAAGAAGATGTTTGCTTCATCGTCTTGAATAAAAAAGAAGGCTCAGGTCTGGGATTCACTGTGGCAGGAGGAACAGATGTGGAGCCAAAATCAATTGTGGTAAGTGACAGTGTCAAGGTGCTCGCAGGAAAGTCACTCCTGAAGCAGCCTCACATTTGATCAGAACAAAATTCACGTCTGTGAGTTCAAAGAATGCTGGTGTTTGTTCCCTCCTAACAAAACAAAAATGGAAAAGTGGGGAAAGTAGGATATGATATATTCATTCGCAAAGATACACATTCTTACCACAGAGCTGACTGATGTATACAGACGGAGTGATTAGATGCAAATACACATCAGTTTTCTGTACCCTCCTATTCACCTAACATTTTATTCTAGCACTAGGAAAACACTAGAATTAACTGACCAAACCCGCATTTGCTTTTGAAATCACTTCCTTCTCAAGAACAACCTAAAATTTTGTATCACTCAAAGGACTTTGAGATCATTGGAGAGGCCACCTTCATTAGGCAAGACCAGGTCCTGTTCATTTTTGTGTTCTTCTTGCCCCCATGGAGTGCCAGGCATATATTAGACACGAGCAAGAAGTTGAGTAAAAATATATTCCAGGGGCGTCTGGGTGGCTCCATTGGTTGAGCGTGCGATTTCAGCTCAGGTCATGATCTCACGGTTCATGAGTTTGAGCCTCATATCAGGCTTTGTGCTAACAGCTCAGAGCCTGGAGCCTGCTTCCAATTCTGTGTCTCCCTCTCTGCCCCTCCCCCGCTCATGCTCGGTCTCTTTCTCAGAACTAAATAAACATTAAACATTTTAAATATATATATTCCATCCCTCACACTGAATAGGTTTTTGGTACCACGTTTGTATGATGACTTTGGCTTTTGACTTCTCCTTGCCGCAGGTGCACAGGGTGTTTTCTCAGGGGGCTGCTTCTCAGGAAGGGACTGTGAACCGAGGGGATTTCCTTCTATCAGTCAATGGCACCTCACTGGCTGGCTTAGCCCATGGGGATGTCCTGAAGGTTCTGCACCAAGCACAGCTGCACAAAGATGTCCTTATAGTCATCAAGAAAGGGAATGACCAGCCCAGATCCTCCACCAGACAGGAAGCCAATGGGAAGGGCTTGCTATCCAGAAAGACCAGCCTCCTGGAGCCTGGAGTAGGTAAGACACCAGTTCAACAACCAGCAGGGTGGGTGCAGCTGGCAGATTGGTTCCTGGTGAGCACGAAGGAACATAACTACTATCATCTGGGTCAGAGAAATCAAATGTAGTCAAGTCTTATGTCGGTGGATGGTTCTTGCAAAAGCAGTGTTACAAGGAAGTTATAAACCACTGCCCCCAGTAGTTAAAGTCATACTATTGAAGATTTTTAACGACTGCTTGACTGCTTCTCTAAATGTGCTAAGAAGGAAGCCCTTTCACATTTATATCTTCTTCTTAGGACTTAAGTGGCCGGTAAGTAAAGCAAGAAACTCTTGTGACAGGGGAGGGGAATCATGTTGAGACTGTAGAAAGAGAAATTCCAGTACTGAGATTTGTCCTCGGAAAATATCAAGGTTTGTATTCTTTCCTGTTTTAGAAGAATGTAAGGAAATGAGGGGGTACAGATGTTTAAAGACAGAGACTGTAGCCTTAATCAACCAAGAACTTATAAAAAGAGGTTCAGAAGTAAGATTTTCTGTATGCCCTCCACACTGTCACACCAAGGCTCATGAGCAAGGCGTATGAAGTACTTACTCAGGAGGAACTAAGTACCACTTGTGTTTCTGAAGCACAGGCTGATTACGGCCTTCAGATAACTACATCAGACTTCAGTGGTGTCCCCTACCTTGGAGTTCAGGAGTGATGTCTTTAGTCCAGGTGGCATAGGGGAGCCAACGAAGCCCGGGTCAGGGCATTGCCTTCTGGGGAGGTTTTTTTTCCACTCAACATCTCTCCCTAATGAAGTTAAGGGTAGCTGAATTCCTCCCTGTTCACCTTGGCTTCATGGCAGCCTGGGCTCTCTGTGATTGCTTTGCTGGAAAGGGCACTGATGTCCACTGAACAAACGGAACTCTTCTTGTCCAGATGCCTCCGCAGGCTGGGGGCATTCTCAGCCTTCTCTGTTCCCTTGCTTTTGCTCTTCTAGAAAACTGAAGCCCTTCCCAGTATTGGGAAACACCTTAAGTCATCAGACCTTGTCATGTTCACCTTTGCCTCCGCATAGTCTCAATTGCTTGTACTTTCAGTGGGATCCGGGCAACTTGTCAAAGGAAACAACTTGACATTTAATCCCGGTAGCTTCCAGAGTTCTTAAGACTCATGAACTCGGGATATGGAAGGCTAATCCTGTCATTTATAATCATTAAGTATTCCTGTGGCACCTTCAGAACATCTGGCCTTGAACCAGATTCTACAGAGTTACCAAATTGTAAACACTTTCAGGGCCTAACCTTTATTTTTTCGTATTCCTGTTCCTTAAAATGCCCGTGCCCAGGGCTCTACCTGAACCTGTGCAGTTCTCCCCTAACACAGAGAGCATCCCACTTGAGGGCTGATGAGGTAGGCTGCACGTTAAAGACACGTAGGAAGCTTTTTAAAATCCTCCTGCTCAGTGAATTCCCCAGCTTATTTCAATCATGAAACCTCAGGGATGGGGGTGAAGGTAAGGGCCAGGGCCCAGCATCACAATCTTTTTAAGGTTCTTGGGTGATTCCAGTAGAGTCTGGCCAGAGCTGAGAGCCTGTAATGGGCCTGTTTTCCTGTTTAACAGCAAGTGAAATCACCTACGGAAAAATCAGGCTGCTCCCATTAGCACATTTCCTTCAGACCACATGGGACGTGGAGTCGCCTTCGTGAAACCACACTAATGGACTGACCTTTATGTGCAAGAGCAGTGATGCTGGCTAGCTCGGCCTCAACCTGAAGGGGGCAGTTTAATCTGTGGTCCTTCCCCTGCCTCCCAGAGAGCTCGGTGCGCCTTTCCATTCCCCTCAACGTCCTTCAATGAGAACGTGTGTAAATAAGAGAAATAAAAGGCAAGCTTACAATCTCTATGCAGATCTCCAAGGCGGATTTCAGCCAGGCCTCTCCACACTAGCACACAGAGCAGGCACGAGTGTTGCCGTGGAAACGTCCCCCACCCCCCAGTGGAGAGAGGAGACGGCAGTGAAGGCAGCTGGCGTGTGATGAAAACACACAACAGGAGCATGTGTGGCAGGAGGAGGAAGGAAAGGAGCTCTGGGCGTCCCTGGGAGCTTTGGAATCCACGGTCACGGTCTCACGTGGGGTCTGGCGTTTGGGTGTTGCAGGATTTCAGGGTCAGACTGTGACACACTGCTGCCATCGGCAGTCAGGGTCAGCAGGAAATCAAATTTGACTCCTCAAGTGTGACTTCACTGAGACCCACAGCAGCAGCGTGTGGGGCTTGCCAAGAGCAGTTCGGAGTCTGGGGGTTTCTGCTTGGGCACAACAGGAAGTGCTTAGGAGAGCACATGGTGCAGGTACGGCAGGAACTTAGCCACGAGGCCAGCTCCAAATTTGGGAGATCAACTCTAACACTGGTTTCGAAGGTAGATGGGACTCCAGGGTGCGGGGGGGAATACATTTAGGGGACAGGACAGGAGGTGATGAGTGTCCCTGTCTCTTCATCCTTCCGAACATCGTTGCTACAGGTAGAAGTGTAGCTTCCCACGATGCTCTGTGTGTTGAAGTGCTGAAGACCTCTGCTGGGCTGGGATTGAGTCTGGATGGAGGAAAATCATCGATGGCTGGAGACGGGCCCCTGGTCATTAAAAGAGTGTACAAAGGTAATGCCCTAAAAAACCCAGTTAGCAGTCTGTTTTCTTTCCATTTGGAAAATGTTCTCATTCTCTGTGACATACAGGGTGTGCTGTGTGTCCGCCCTGTTGTGTTCTACACATGTGAACACATGTCGCCCCCATGACAGTCCTATCAGGTACTGTTATCCCTGTTTCACCAGAGGAGAGACTGTGCCACAGGGGGCCATACAAGCCCCGAAGGTCACAGGTGCAAATGGCAGAATAAGGCTTGACCCCAGGCAGTCTGGCCCCAGGGTCTGTGTCCAACTCCGTGTTCTTAACTAGTATTAGCTGTAGCTGATGTAAACATACATGTAAGTAAGGCCATTAGGGTTGCCAGTCAGGGGTAGTTAACATGGACCAAGATCCCATTCATTTAAAATTGCAATACTGGGATGGGAGTAGAGATCATTGAAACACGTGGTAGATCTGAGGTCTCTTTATGACCCTGCATCGTCATTTAATCTTGGACAGTTCTCAAAGACCTCTTCAGGTTCCTGAGCTAAACAATTATATTACAAATTTTAAATCTAATTATAGAGGAGCCTGGGCGGTTCAGTCAGTTAAGCATCCGACTCGATCTGGGCTCCGGCCGCGATGTCGTGATTCTTGGCATCGAGCTCCACGGTGGGCTGCGTGCTGACAGCACAGAGCCTGCCTGGGATCATCTCTCTTCCTCTAACATTTTTTTAAAGTATAATTATACTAACAATATCAGTTTATATAAAAATATACGAATGTATATCCTATTTTATGTAATATGCTATCACAATAGTGAATACTAACAGTATCAGTAACATACACCCATATACTCCTAAGCTTGTTATATAGAAAGCTGCGGTGTAGAAATACATCAGGTTTTGTGTGTAAGTAATCTCCACAGTCCCTGATTAGCCGTCATGGTATATTAGATCAAAGTGGAGCCTGTTTTCCTCCACTTACTGGCCATTTGGATTTTAGTTACTGATTTGTAGTTCTTTATCTAGTCTGCGTATTCCCTCTGTTGCCTAAATACATTGAAAATGATTTTCTCCTAGTCCACTGCTTATGCATCTTAGGAGAGGAGGGGGTTACAGATTTGAATATTTAATGGATGTATGCCCTGTGCGTCTTAAGAATATAGGCACTGGGTACCACTTAAGTTTTTCGTTTCCTTGGAATTTATTTTGAATACCACAAAGGTGCCAAGCCCTTGTTCTGCATTTATTCTCACAGGGGGTGCAGCTGAACAAGCGGGAACAATAGAAGCTGGAGATGAAATTCTCGCCATTAATGGAAAACCCCTGGTTGGGCTCATGCACTTTGACGCCTGGAATATTATGAAGTCTGTCCCGGAGGGACCTGTGCAGTTAGTAATTAGGAAGCATAGAAATTCGTCCTGAAACCATCACCAGTGGTGATGCTCACTGGTCATGCTGGTTACATTTTTGAACAAGCATCTCCTTTTCTCAGTTCCCTTACTTGAGCAAATCAGAGTAACTTCTTCAAACGCTGGGTTCCTAAAACAACACAGGAACACTGATACAGGCAAGGACTATAGAAATCTCCAGGATTTGACATCTACGTGAAGCTGACCTCTTGTGCGTGCAGCAGCGGTGGAGCGGACCCCTGGAGGCCTCTGACCTGGACCACCTCGGCTGGGAGGGATCCTTTTGTTCCAGTGCCTGTCCCCTCCTTTTCACATCTACTGATGGGGATATGAGACATGGCGTGCCCTTCATTCGAACCATTTACCTAGACCTTCGCATCCTTCTTGCCTCCTTTCACACTGTACCCAGTCCTGGCAGTGAGGGAGGTAACCAGGTCCGAGGGGGCAACACAAATGTCACAACTAAAAGGACTACAGTTTTATATAATTTTGTAAGTAAATAACAGTGCTTTTAGGCACATTCAGTGGAAGGAGCTGTGGGTCTGTACTGTTACCGTGAAAAGAAATGAGACTTAAAGAAAGAAAGAAAAAAGATAAGTTATGACCTAACAGTTAAGCTGAGCTCAGGAATTATCCAAAAATGAAAAAGCAAAATACAGAAAGTGATATTTTTTAGAGAGTGTCATGTGCAATGCACGGATGCAGAGTTCAACTCCGTGGATTGTCGATCATCATGAAGTGCTGATCGTGATCTAAAAGTGTAAGTCGTAAGGCTATGCTACAAAAATGCCGTTCTGATAAACCACATTAGATAGCCATGAACTTTGCTGCTTTGAGTGAGCAGAAAGTTCCAGCTCTGAAAGCACCTTGCATCTGGTTTGCAACTTGTCTTGAATAAGTGCTTCAATTCAAGACCAGTCAACCCAAGAGTGGGCAGAAATATCATAGTCACTGGGTTTCCATTTCTATATTTTATGCACTCCAACCACTAATTTAAGCCAAATTTTTAGAAATCTTTTTAGTACCCTTGGATTTATAAACGTAGGCATTACATTTACAATCCAAATGGAGGAACTTAAAAATAATCCTTCTAGGGGACTTTTTTTTGGTTGGCTGGTTGTGTTCCCCTTTCCCAACAAGCTTAAGAAATAGAACCTTTCTAAAGCACTGGACCTCTTTTCCTGACCTGGGTGTGATGTCGGCTCTGCAGTGACTAAAGCGTTTGCTGGTTTTGTTTTCCTGTTTTGCAAATTCTTCCTTTTGCAAAACCGTTTCCCTGCAAAAGACTGTTGTGACTCATACTGCCTGTGAAAACCCATCCCGGCTGCTCTCCTTTCAAAGCATGACTTGTTCGTAGTGGCTGTTCCCATTCAATGCGCTGTTCCCTGTCACAAAACTGGCTTTTCTCCTCCTACTGCACCTTCTTTTCTTAAATTCTAAACCTTCACCAGCTACATTTACCAAGATGTAAAAAGAAGAAAATGGAGAACAAGGGTGAGTCACTCTTTCAAGGTAAAGCAGCAGAACTATGTAGTTACGAGCCAGATCCAAGGGTGATGCAGGCCAGCAGATCGAGTCCTGGGAGTACAGGTGAGAATCATAACCTGCCTGTTGGGAGGACGCCGAGGTATTATGCCGGAGACTTCTTCCAATAACCTGCAGCTTGGGTCTATGGCTTAGAGAAAAGAATGGAGGTCACCGTACCCCTCCCCCGATCATAGAGGTGCTTACTCACCTTTGTACATTGCTTTTCCAAGTGACTAATCCCAGTAAACCTCTGTAAAGTTGGCCCAGAGGGGTCTCTCAGATGGGACTGAAGTATCTGGCTGGTGAGCCCAGATTTCTCATTTTTTTTTTTTTCCGTAGGTTATATACAAAAGAGAATGTTGCACAAGAGTTAGCTAGAAAGACCTGATTAATTTAGCTTCTACTATTCACTACAGTTCCAGGTAGGATACTATAGGCAGTCAGTGCAAGGTGCATGCTAGATTGTTTTTAAGTCTCTGGGGTCAGTTTTGTGGTTTCTGCTTTCTTGCCTGAATGGTAAGAGAATATTTGCCTCCGCCCTTCCAGCTGTGCCTACCAGTAAGAAATTCACATTCCTACGCAAACAGAACATCTACAGAATGGGGAGCAGTGGAACAGTCTCCTTCCAAGAGTCCCTGATCATCGTATCTGAAGAGTGCAAAGGGTAGACCTTTGGCTCACTAAATTGTGTTAAAGTCATCAGCCATTTCTAGTAGATCTTGCGAGAAGGGTTTCCCTGGTCACCAGTTGGAATTGAAGGGAGAAAGCAAAAGGCTAAACTATCTCTGACCCTTAGAAGGCTACTTACTTGTCTTCAGTGTTCAAGGCATGACTAGTATTTCTAATTAGTCTAATTCCCACACTTCCTGAAGTGAGCACTAATGGTATTCTATTATCCTACTAAAATTTTCATTGTTTGGGGTTTTTATTTAACTCGTCAGTCACCCACAATAAGTTATGAAGGTAAATATGTGTTACAACAAGTAAATTGTAGTTGCAAGGATATTCTGTGAAGGTTGAAGTCGGGTTTCATTTCTGTCCTTCCATACACATCTCATTTAATTTTATGGTTGACTTAATTGGCACCACACCTGTTGTATGATAATATACATCCTTTATTTATGTAAAATAAAATGCCTTATATATTAAAGAGTAAGTGCAATAATATGAAATAGCCTGTACATTTTTAAAATGTTGTCGCCAAGTTATGTAAATCCACATCTCTGTAAACAACCTTTTTTAAGTAATTTTAAAAAAATAAACACTCTACTTACTACTTGGTTCTTTCCTTGTTGTTTTAGTTCTGCAATCCATAAAGTAACCTTTTAAAATATAAGGGGCGCCTGGGTAGCTCAGTTGATCGAGCCCCACTTAGGGCTCCATGCTGAGCATGGATTCTCTCTCTCCCCACTGCTTACACGCTCTCTAAAATAAAAATATAAAAAATATCAAGACATGTTTATTATTACTTAAATTATTACATAAATGAGAGGTCCAAAGGTAACAGAACTAAAATCAACAACTCTTGGGACACCTGGGTAGCTCAGTTGGTTAAGCGTCCGACTTCGGCTCAGGTCATGATCTCGTGGTTCTTGAGTTCGAGCCCCACGTCAGGGATCTGTGCTGACAGCTCAGAGCCTGGAGCCTGCTTTGGATCCTGTCTCTCCCTCTCTCTCTGCTCCTTCCCAACTCGTGCTCTCTCTCAAAAATAAGTAAACATTTAAAAACAAATTTTTTTTTAATCAACTCTTACATGGCCACACTGAGGATCTAACACAATCTAAATCTCCAAGACCTTCAACATCCCATGCCTTTGCAAAGCCCTGACCGTCTAGATTTTACTCCCCTCTTCCCGCTACTAAAGTCTTCAATTTCCGCAAGCCTAATCCCAACACTGTTGATGTTCTCCCCATCAGAAGCCCCACCTTTCATTTCTTCTCTGTTAGACTAGACACCACGGTAGAGCACAGCAGCCCCCATCCATCCCAGAGACTCGGCACCCTTGTCCCAGCTAATCCTGGATCCTTCCTTCCACTAGCCAGCTTGTTGGTTCCTACATTCCTCTTCCTAGAGGAAATCCCACAACCATGTAGAATAATGCTGCTATAAATCCATGATTTCCAGCGATACCTGGAGACTCCCCAGCTACTCAGCCATTGTTTCCTTGTCGGTTTTTCTCTTTATAATGACTACTATTCCTTATTTTTCTCAAAACTGCTACCCACTCACCTCCCGCTACCACCCCACCCACCCCCGTGGCCCCATGCTTGGATGACCTGGGATCCTGCTTCACAGAGTAAAATAAAAAGCAACAGTTCAGTCTCTTTTGATTTTAAGATGCAGACACCAACCTAGAGTAGCACAAGAAAGATGATGGCATGTCATAGAAATGTAAAAATGGGACTTGGCATATGACCGGGCCTCTGAGACTGAACGACGGGGTTCATGGGTGTTCACTCAGTGCCCTCCACTGGTAAGACTCCCCTGTTATTTGGGGCACCTGGGTGGCTCAGTCGGTTGAGCATCAGACTCTTGGTTTCAGCTTAGGTCATGATCTCACAGTTTGTGGGATCAAGCCCCACGTTGGGCTCTGGGGTGACAGCACTGAGCCTGCTTGGGATTCTGTCTCCACGCCCCACCCCCCGCCCTTCCCCTGCTCGTGTGCTCTCTCAAAAATAAACATATTACATAACCATCCTGCTATGTGTGGGTCTGTTTCTGCAGATCCACTTCTCCCTCTACCAGTCAGTGGCCTTATCACCAACTCTTCATACCTTTTCTTTATTAGAAACCTTATAGATGCTATTTTCTCATAACTTCGGCCTCTTATCACAGAATTTCTCTGGACATACCAGCTGCTGCCTGCCTGAATTTTTCCATATACACCCAAAAAGTCAGGTGCTGACTGGCTCACTCCTACTCAGGTAAAACTTCTGACAGAGTGTGCTTATTTGTTCATGTAACTTTTTTGTCTAAAGCCCAAACAAAAACAAAGAGGGATGAATTTTAATACAGAAATAGCCCATTCTAGGAGTGCTGGAGAATGCATACCAGGTACAATACAATCTTAAGACCAAACTGAAGAGCAATGAAATGGGATACAATTCTCTTTAGCAAAAGAAGTATGAAATGAGAGTCCTGAAGAAGGCCACCTAAAGTCTTACCCTGGAAAAAGGGGATTGCAGGACAAAGTGGGCCCCAGAAAAAGCAGGAAGCACCCGGAATTGAAACCATTTACACTCCTCAGAATGGTAAGGAGGGTGAGGTTGAAGAGGGGATTGTTTTGATTTTTTCCAGATACCTGGGTCAGCCTAGATAGGGCCAAGGAACAACACACAAGGAATGGTCTGATCTGAAGGGAGCCCCCGCCAGATAGGACCCTACCACAAAAAGGCTGAGCTGATTCAGTAAGGGTTTAGCTGCCACAGCTCACCCACCCCAGAAAGGCTCCAGCAGCAAGTGCCACTCCACA